GCCAGGCTATTCTTCACGATCTTCTACTGAACTTCATACAACGTGCTCGAAGCCAAACGCAACATTTGCTGCACGGTAGATGTTGCTGTGGTCACCCGTCCAGCGTCTGGTTAGATCTCCTTCTTTTATGGCCCTGGAAAGACACTGATTCACTGTTTCAAGAGGTCATCGATGTCCGCTGGACTAGCTGTGCTTTCCCACTGGAGCCAACTGCAGATACTCGAGATAAATTGCAGCCTGGCCATCACAATTGCATGTTGCAGGTGCACAGTTTAGAGGTTTCCAGTTCCACTTTGAAAGGTCGAAGCTCTGCGAAAGATCCTCATGAACTGACGACCGATGACACAAGTGTGATAAGTGCATGACTTTCAGTCTCCCCATTTGAACCGTAGTGGAACAACGTTGCTAGCGAGAAGAAGTGCGACAGGAAGTGACCACCCTATGTCAACTGATGTCACATGACGAAGGGGAAGAGGCTGGATCGACTGGAAGAGGCTAAAGGTCTGCGGGGATGTTCGCGAAGTATCCAGAGAAAACTTCTCCCGCTGCAGTACCGCAACTGGCTACGTCTACTATGCCTGGAACTCATTGGAGTGTGTCCACTTTACAACAGCCGAGACTACTGTCGAAAATACACTGGTGTGCAAAACTTAGGGACGAACGTAGCTTTTCCAACGACGTGTTACTGGCGCGTAACATGACTCTATGGAACCTAACCACACATACAAAGAGCTGTCACAGGGCACTAAAGAAAGCAGTTAACAGGAACCGTTAAACGGTCCACAAAGCTATCAAAAGGTTATGATACTTCATCTGTCTCGTCCTTAAGTTTTGCACACCAGTGTAGTAACTCTGAATCTTTGAGGCTTGGTTGAGAACTCTAGAAAAGTGAGAATTTGAGAATTCTAGAAAACTGAGAACTACTACATCCAACTTATGTACAACGCTGACTAGCCTCCTAAAAGAGCAATCCCCGTTCCCGGTCAGAGGTCACGTTGCGGTCGCAGATTACAATTTCCAGAGCACCTCAAAATCGACTTCATTGTCTCTTTCCGCTCGAAACCGCCAACCTGCTCGGTAGGAACTTCCGACCCAGTCTTTGGGTGCTCTGTTGCAAAAAGTCACTAGCGATTGATGGTGCATATTCCATGATACAGCTGGAATATTTTCATTTTGTACTTAAAGAAAAAAACACTTCAGGAGCGGAAAAATATTGGATGGACAAAAAAAAATTTACGCTGGGATCAGGTAAATGAGGATGTCCCACCAATTAATTTTTTCACCCACTGAACCCGAGGAGGAGAAGAAAGGCTTGATGGGAGCGTTACATGACTTAGAGTTACGTGACCCTCTTAACGGCACCTTACGGTTGGTTTCAATGAAGTTTTGTAGTGAGATGAAGTATTATACAACGCGTTTTATTCGTTGGCCAACAGAGGTTTAGGTGGTGTTAGTAGCTGCCTTATTTATACGAGTATGAGCCAGGCTTATTCCACAGACATCATCAAGTGTATGTGCAGGCCTTAAATCATTGGAAAGAACTGTTACCGAATTCTCCCACCCTCCCAACTCTCCCGCGAGGCTTAAGCCGATCTGAACGGTAATATTTACATGACTTGCAAGCCAGGAATCCAATCTAATTCTCCAATTTCAAAAATATTAGAGATTTTGATATGATTACTTTGTCAGCAGCATAGACAACTGGAACAGCATGCTCCATCCGCCTTACTCTACCCTAAGCCCGAAAATAAAATAGCGTTACTCCTCATTTGTGTAGCGACCAAGCAATCTAAAGGGAACGGTACTTGCCAAAGGATCTGCGGCGGAGGTACTGTAGCATAAACACACATCTGCAATTACAGAAGAGGTCTAGTTTGTCCGGAATTTTAACAATTTTCAACTGCGGCAGCACCTTTTTCTTTTTTGTGTTTGCTTCTTAATCGTGGATTAGTTGTGTTTCTAATCCTTAGTTGTTTAATTTTAGAGGTCATTGGAAGTCTTTCTTACATTGCACTATATAACAGTTTTTCTGATCCGTCCACTTTCTTTGGAAATCCTATTTCCTTATTAGTGATCAACAAAACATTTAGATACATTTGATCTGAGCTTCGATGTTTTTTTTTGCCAGAGGAAACCGTTTTTTTGCGTGATCGTGGAATCTGGCTCGTTCAGTGGGTTTAGATTTGGAAGAATGAAAAGAACGCCGAAGTCGAAGACGGCATCGCTGTATAAGTTTTGGATAGCTCAAGAGCAGCAACGACAAGAGCAGCCAGCAACAACAACCGCAAAATTCCTCCACTCTAGATCGAAATCAAGGTATATTAGAATACCATAAAGCTTCCCTATAAGTCCAATGGTGCGGCAGGCAGTATTGGATTACATTGATTTAAAAGAACTGCGAAGGAACCTAGAGACTATTCGCTTAGTTCGTTCTAGATGAAGTGATCACTCTGAGCGACAGCCCCGTGGAGCATATTAACGCCATCCCGCTGTCCAGTACAGGCAAGTTCTGTTTGATGTAGTATGCGAGTGCCTTTTCTCCAACACTTTCGCCTTTCTTTTTCGAATCTTGAATTGTTCATTTTTCATCATTTATTTTTCCTTACCAATTTATTCTGCTATTTTCTCCAACTGCTTGCTTTCGCGTTCTTCTTTTCGCTTCATTTGGCGATGTGAATGTAGTAAGGAATGCTGAGCTATGGGCAACTCTTTTCCACACTCGCGATCTGAAACTTGACGTCACGTTTGCCGAGGGACGAATGTGGTTTCGCTAGTTGCCGAGGAAATTTTCACTTTAACTTGGCTTTCATCGAAACATTTACCATAAAGTCGCCGTGGCTTATTTTATTATTTTAAGTGTTTTTAAGACTCAGAATTTTTGAATTGTGATTGTTGCCTGATTGGAGTTTTGGATGATTTCAGCATCACCGAAGCTGCCAAACAAGGGTATTCCCTCATGGGCGCCTTTGGCGCGGCATTCAACAACGTCTGATCCATCTCCAACGCCTAAACGCGCACCGCCCGTTCTGCAACATATCAGTCCAGCAAGGTTTGTTTATATTTTCAGGATGGGCCGGTTTGTACATATCAGTCAAGTTTCCAGATACGGCACCCATTTTGATTATACTTGTCGATTTTTGCTGTTAACCTTTTCTTGATAGTAAAGTGGTGTTGCTTTAGTGAGGCAGAGCTCGAAAAATCAGGTTTTGATCCTTTAGAAGGATCGTCGATCCGATATCCCGCCAATGAGTATCTGCGTCAGTTCGAGGTATGAAGGAAGCTTTAGTCCCTTTTACTACTTGAAACTTTTTGGTGAACTCACGGCTGTTTGCTTTCGAAGTTCGTTGTTTGGTTATTCCTATTGTAGATGGACATCGTCAAGTCATGCGTCTCAAAGAATTCGGCCGTCTGCCTTCCGATGGCCGTGTCAGCTGACCACATCTGTGCCGTAGTGACAGCCAATTTCTTGAGGTGCTTTTTACGCTGCTGTTTGAACTAAACTGGAAGAATCAAAGCAGCATGTACGATCATAGGACTAAAGCGTAATTGGCAACAGTGCAACGCAAGCTGTGACAATTTTTGTGCTAATAGAAGGAATGGTCGTAACTTTTCATACTTCAGGTGGTTTCCACGTAGTCGCTCTGTATTCTGCTGTAATTCACTCGAAGATGCGCAAGTGTTTCAGGAACGGTGTGTGGTTATTGGAATCCCAGCCGATGAGGTTATCTTTTCGCTCGGCCCAACAAGCTTTCTGTTAAAACTATTTTTTCCACAGCGATATGCTTTATTTTCGAGTCTTGTAACCAACAATATTTCAAAAACCACGTTTTGAGACCATGGGGATTTTCACCGCTAACATTGATGGGTGCTTCTTTTAGGTCTCTATTTTGGACTCATTCCATATGTTCAAGAAAATTCCAGTCCATAAACTAGGACGAGTAATGGTTATAACGCCGCAAGTCAGTTTTTGTGTCAATTTTCAAGTTATTACCGTTTTATTTCGTTTCCTTTATTCACTGAGGCAAGCTTATGGCTAGCTTCATGAACTACATTCATGATACAGACTCCGTTTGTTGCCATATCTATCTTTCCTTCTCTGAAGCCACAACTAATCAGGAAAGGTCATTTGGTCAACCCGGCCAATTGAAATGACATGTATATGTGTATACGTGCCTTGAGACGCTGAGCTCAAATAAGTGTTCCTCATCTGCTGAACTCATTTATGAAGCAGAAAAGCGCAGGGGCTGTGGTGGAGGCTCACGAAAAAGAGGTCAGGGGGATCAACTTTCGTGAGCGAGTTTGCCTGGTTTTGCTTGGGCGGCACCGCTCCTCACCACTTTGGGCGCTTGTAGCGCAGGCGCCAGGCATTTTTGCTTCGAACAAGTATGATATTCGTAATCAGGGAGCCAGACTCTCCCTTTAAGCAAACTTCTAGCGAATTCTGAAATTTTGACCTAACCTCGAAAATTTGGGCAGTCACTCACCGATCCACCAATCCATTACAAAAGGCTGGGGGTAGAATAAACCTTTTAAACACTTTTCATAATAGACAAAAATTGTGTCTGGCTTGCCCGTGTGCATCATCCAAAGATCTGCAAAGCATTATTTCCTAATACAACACCATCTCTCCCCTTTCCCCGTCGTCCATGATTGGTCAACCCAAAAAAGTGGAGTTTGAGGAGTGGTAATCCCATCACTGCTCCGCTTTTTCTCAATTAGTTCATGACCTCAGGATTTGCAAGAAACCCGTTTTAGGGGTAGTTTGATCCCCTGAATACGAATATCGTACCTACTTGCCACGGAAAAGCATAGCACCTGCACTACGGGCACCATGGGCACTCACAGACAAGTAGTGCTTAAACTTAAGAGGATCTGCTTGCAAACTCTCCGTAGATGTAGCGTCGGGCGACCGTTGGTAAAATAACAGATTCAAAAAGGCTTTTCAGCCATGTTGGAAAAAAAGCAAAACACCAAATCCAGGGGTAGGTCGAACCCCGCGACCCCTTACATGAGAAGAGACCGCTACCAACTGCGCCACCCTATACTACTATAACACAGCTAACATGTGATTGCAGGCAAGACACTGAAAATCAAGGGCGGCAACAAAAACCCTCCGTAACTCCTTTCAGAGAAGAGTTCAGCAGATAATGAAAGCAGATTTGAGTTCAGCGTCTCATGCTGCGTACAGAAATGTGCACCTCATTTCATTTGGCCGGGTTGGCCTAATGACCTTTCCTGGTAAGCTTTTCCTACTTTCTCCGCTATGTAACGTTGGCGTTCATTCCATGATGATGACGCAGCTTTGACTGAGTTGAAGCATTTATGTAGTAATCCTTTCTAACAAGTAAGAGCTGCAGTGTTCAATAGACAATATTAGGTTGAGCAATAATTATCCGCCGTTTTCATTTCACTCATAAGTTTATTAACAAAACCAAACAAAAACAACAATAAATGCGTAATCAACAAACGCTCTCGAACAGTCCTCTCTGCAACCGTGCCTTCATCCCAGGCTTCATTGATTCTACGAGCAGATGCAGAAGCATTCGGTTTCGAGCTCAACTTGCACTCATGTAGCAGGGGCAATCTTTTTTGCTAGTGTGTAAGCTCCATAGTGAAGTAAATACACAAGTGTTGTACATCAAAATGTACAAGAGATTGAGCGCTTCAGACTACATTTGAAAATAATCAGCAAAAAAAATCAAAGAACCATGAGCCTAAAAAAACGGCGGATACTTATTGCCCAACCTGATAAAAAGTTAATTTATGGACCGACTAGGCGTTGATTAACCGCTCCCCAATGGAAAAATGCGTCATACAGTCCATTTACATTCTGATCAGCAGTATTATTATGCAAATGCATTACTGAATGCGATATGGCCTGTATGTTAACTTGTGGGGCACCCGATGTTCAAATTTGTTTTTATTCTCACAGGCGAATCTCATATCGGCTGTGGTCCCTGCTGTGTTGAACGAAAGCCTTTTTTTCAAAGCGCTGATCTCCGTACTTCACATTATGTTTTATAGGCATTTGAGAAAATCGTGGAATCAGATTCACCAGTGGTTGGCGATATCCGATGTGCGGTGTTTTGTCTCGAGTCAGAAAGTGTTGGTATAACCAAATATAAAAAAATTATAGGAACGTTAACTTTGAAGAAGGTTTGCATTTCTACAGTTGATTCAACCTAACGCTTATGTTTGACTCTCAATGAACCTTGGCGTACTTATCAGTACGACTTCAGTTGACTCAACAGCACCCGAGGTTTCTCTAGTGATTCCCTCAGCTAACGTGCAAAAAGCCTAAGAAAGGCTCCAGAGGAGGCGAAATCGCAACGTTAGGAGATGGAATCATTATCGGCTTCGTGGGCCGTTTAGTCAGCCCATCGTATTCCTTTCCCTCAACATGAAGTGTCTGATTGATATGCGGTCTTACTATTTAACTTGCTAGACCTGTCATAATTCAGGTTCTTTTTCGAGTAATCCTGGTAACCCCGTCGGTGCCATCATATTCGCGTAAATTAGGCCCATTGAGGAAACGCCAGCAGATTATAACATCTCTCATCATCTCGCAGTGGATTGAACCGCCTGCTT